ATCATGAGTTAATCACAAACCCTAAAAGTCTACCCCATGATTGCATGAAGCTTTGGGGGGACATCTATACACAAACCGTAACAAAAACTACATAAAGTTTAGCACACATGCAACCATAATAGCTGCTGTGGCTTAGATCTTCAATTTCCCTCAAAGGTCCATGCGTTGAAATCTTGGCCCTAGGCCCAGGCGATATTAGAGGTGGGAGAACCTTCAGGTGTTTGGGCCTAGCAGGAAGAAGTTGATCATTGGGGGCATGACCTTGAAAAGGATATTGGGACCCTAATTCCTTCCTTTCTCTTTCTTTTTGCTTTCTTCCCACTATGGGGTAAACAGATATTCTTTTACTACGTACTCCCACCATAATGTACTCTGCCACTATGGGCCCAAAGCAACAGGGACAAGTGACTATGGGTAAAAATCTCTGCAACCATGAGCCACAGTAAATCTCTTCTGTTATGAAGTTGGTTATCTCAGATAGTTTGTTATACTAAAGCAAAGCTAACCTAATAGGCCTAAACAGATAGCACATGCTTAGCACTAACATATTATTTTTTCCCAACTTTTTGGACCTGAGATTAGTTAATTCTGTGCATATAGAATATAGAAGCTCAATGTACACATATTGTTTGTCTCTATGTTCTTGATCCTCTATAAATCAAGTTCATACCATAAAACAAATACAATGCTCTATAGAGCATGGTCTCAAGTCCAAAGATAAATTAAAGACCAAACTAGGTCTATAATTCAACACAAACTCCAAGCATTTTGTGTTTCTCTGATACCTATTTATATGAGAATTTTTACTGATTTTTGGAAGTATTATATAATACACTGAAGGGTAAACCATACCTTACATCGTATTTGTCACTCAGGTTGCTAAATTCAAGTAAAACAGTGGCCAATAAAATTTAACTCTTACATTTATGGTCAACTAATTTTAAACAAGGGCACCAAGACAACCCTGGGGGTAAATAATAGCTGAAAATCAAATGATGCTACATTGCCAGTCAAGTGGAAGACCCAATACTATTATGGGCTACTGGACTCTTTTAGAATATTTTGCTGAGTTTACACACCTATAATATTCAAATAACGGAACTTAACAAAAAAAGGGGATACAGATGAATGTCCATTTTGTATCTGTGTATTCAGAGTGGTTAGGATAGATATATAGTTACATTCTCTTAATGAATACAGCGATTTGTTCTAATGGTGTTTGTAAATAGAATATCATGTGCGCATCTTGTACAGCAATTAACCACTAGGAAGAATGTATGAAATGTGTTAATTATTGAAACTGTCCTACCAATTTGGTTTGAAACTGTCTCATTGCTATTTGTTTATCAATAAAATTATGGGAAAAATTTTTTAAAAATCAAATGATGCTAAGACAACTGAATATCCACATGCAAAAGAGTGAAGCTGTATTCTCACCTTACATCACACATGAAGACTAACTGAACACAGACCACAGATCTAAGTAAGAGAGCTAAAAATAAGTAAATGTAAAAGTTAAAACTCTTAAAACGTTGTAAAAAATCCTTCTGACCCTAGATTAAGCAATGCTTTCTTAAATAAGACACCTAACACAACAGAAAAGATATCGTTGTTGAGATAGCTCAGCAGATTAAGAGCCTGCCTATGGACCAGGGTTTGATCCCCAGCACCACATGCTGCACTGGCCCCGCTCCCGAGTGTGCTGAGCTGGCCACAGAGACAGGGTGTGGTGGTACATGCCTGTAATCCCAGCATCGGAGACGCTGAAAATAGGAGGATCACTATGAGTCTGAGCTGCATAATGAGATCCTGTACCAAATACATAAAAGAAACAGAAAAATAAATAAATAAACTGGACTATTTCAAAATCAAGAACTTTTGCGTTTTAAAGTATAGAGTCAATAAAGTTAAACAATCTACAGAATGAAAGAATATACTTGAAATCATATATCTGAGAAGGAACCTGTATCTAGAATATATAAATGTTATACTTTTTAAATTTGATACCAGGAATCAAACTCAGGACCTTGCACTTGCCAGGCAGGTGCTGTGCCACTGAGCTACATCCTTGGCCCAGTAACTGTGACTATTTAACAATAATAAAGGAATAATTACTCAACTGAAAAAATGAGCAAAGGATATAAATACAGTGGTACCTTGAGTCAGGAACTTAATTATTTCCACAATTCTGGTCACAAACCAAATTGAACAAGAAACAGATACTTACAGAAATAACTAAAACACAGAAATAGCCCACATGTCCATCAACTGATGAACAAATAAATAAAATATTATCTATATATACAACGAAATGTTATTCAACAATAAAAATAATATTGATAGGATAATCCAACATGGACAAATCTCAAAAATGTCATGCAAAAAAAAAAACAACCCTCAGGCCCAAAACACATTGTATGTATATGAAACATTCAGAACAGACAAATCTAAAAAAAAAAAAAAAGGAAATTAGTGGCTTCCAAAGGGCTGCAGAAGGAGGCTGAGAATGGGTAGTAATTAATGATGAGTATAACACTTCTTTTTCAGGGTGATGAAAAGGTTCTGAAATTACAAATGGCAATGGCTGCATAGCTATATACTAAAAACAACTGAATTGTACACACTGAATGAAAGAATTGCATGGGACAGGAATTACATGTCAATAGTGCTGTGTAAAAACATCCTAAGGGAAGCACATCATATAACTGCTAACGGGTTTCAGTGGACTGTGTACGATGGTTACTGAGCAGAGCTTCAGCTCACAGAACCTCTCACTTCTCTAGAACAAAACCAGAATTTCTCCAGCATTAGCTTCCTCTTTCCTGAATAGCCCTTTCCAAATATGGGCTCCTGTTTACAGAATGTGCATAATTTAGCACAAAGCCATGGTCATCTTTCCTGCATGCACCCTGGCTTAATACTTGTTCCCTTGGGCTATGAACCCCAGAATCCAAAGACTCAACTCTGCTACTGCTGGCAGCCTGGTGTCTAGTCTCTGTTCGGCAGGGGTTTTACTGGGTCATCAATGAGTAATCAGGCTAGCCACACACAGGAATGGTGAGACAGGGGATGCAGGAGGAAGGTGCAGACACAAAGACAGACTTACTTCTGTAGGTTGGCCATCTGCTTCACAGCTTCCACAGCCCCTGGCAGAGGCTCGAGTTCAAAGAAGAAATTCTTAGACTCCCAGATGCTAATGGCCTTCTCCTGAGAAACAGAGAAAAGCAGGTTACCACTAGTGCCCTCAAACCTCACTGCCCTCAGCTGGGGCAGCCTGTGTGATATGGAAGGGGCAGCCACAAGAGGGGGTGTTTACCTGCCTCTTGTGCCCATACACTTTGTGTGTGTTTTGGCCCCTTTTCAGGGAAGGATATGCCTCCATTAGGATCCAGTAGAGACCAGCTAAGGTATTAGGGTCTTTGGGGAAGGCACCAGGTACCATCTGGGACCTGAGGCTATTCAGGCTAGCCAGGCATTTGCTGGACTTGACTGCAATGGCCAGGAGCATAGTGGAGTCCTGCAGGAGGATCAGGACTGCCCACAGGAGGAAAGTGATTAGACTAGAGAGTTGGAGAGGCCCAGAGATACCTAAGTGTATCGTAATGGGTCACACGGAACAAGAAGGGGATATAGGTGAATGGACAATTGGGAGGGCCCCTGGCTCCTCCCCATATGAACCAGAACAAAAATACTTTTTATTTGGTTTATGTTCAGATTTATGTTCTCTTCTCAAAAAAGATTCTGCTGATTTTAAAGTCTGAAAACAAAACTCCAGACCCTCATTTTACCCATGAGAAAAATGAGACTCAGAATGGAGAGGCTATCTGCCTGGTGCTACACAATCTGGGAACAGAATCCTCATCTCCCCACTCCCAGGATAGTTCCTACCCTCATGTTGCAGGGCCAAAACTGAGTTTTCAAAATGGAGCACTTTCTCAGCCTTTTGGCTAAAGTCAAATGTAGCATATAGCACCTTTTCTAGGTCAACATGGGGAAAGTGACATTTCTCAGCCTTTGAGGAGCAGGGTCCTAAATCCCATATATGGGGTCCACAAAGTACTTCTGCCTGGTCAAGAGATCACACCAGCAATACTTCTGTGAATCCTACACAGCTAAGCAACTCAAGCTTCTTTCTAAAATACATTCTCTCATTTGATCCTCACAAGGCAAAAAGGCTGAGGATTGGTATTCTCAGTTTATAGGGATGTTTTTCAAGACTTCTTAGAGGTGACACTGTCAGGACTTGAACTCATACACAGAAGCAGTGTAGACAGATGGAATGGGAAAATCTTGGTCCTTGCTACGTAACCCTGTGTTGAGCAACTCCCCTCACGAACCTCTCTCATTTACAGAATGGAGACAGGAACCTCCCCCTTCCACATGGGTCTTCATGAGGATGTAACAGATATGGCACAGACCCTGGTAGTGGGCCTTGGATATAATGACAACGTATCAGCACACCTCTCCCTGACACTAACTTGTCATCAAACCCAGGTCAGGGAAACTGCCCTCTCTGGGCTCAGTTCATCTGTCCTAATAGTTTGAGATTCTACATTAATTAAAATAAACTTTTCTTTCCACCTGCTTACCTCAGCAAAGCAATGGGACTATCAAAGGGAATAAAGACAAAGAATAGTAGACCTTCTATATCCACATGTTCTGCATCCCTGGATTCAAATCACAGATTGAAAAAATTTAGAAAAAAACTGTGTTGGTACTGAACACACACAGACTTTCTCCCTTGTCATTCCTCCACACATGATCTAACTACTTACATAGAAGTTACATTGAATTGGGTAACATAAATTATCCAATGGTGATTTAAAGTATACAGGAGAATTCCATAGGTTACACACAAAACACCGTTTTATATAAGAAACTTGAACATCTGTGGATTTTGTTATCCAGGGGGAAGGAATGCTAGACCCATCCATCGTAGGTACCAAGGGACAACTGTATTTTTTATAAAGTGAAAATGCCTACAGCCAGAAACTGGATTGATTTCTTTAGTTTTAATCACAGATACCTGGCCAACTTGGACACTGAGAGAGACAGAGATATCCTGCTTGGGAAGAGAAAGACAAGTAGGAGAAATCAGCAGGCTGCTCCTGGAGTACCCTCCCTTCTGCCCCATGAACACTGCTCCTTTACCTTGTGGTTAAAAAACAGGAATTCGCTCCTTAGGCATGGAGTATGGGTCTCTGTGCAGCGGCTGTAAAAGCTACTGCACTCTTCAGAGGTGAAGTGGACTTAACTTATTTCCACTAAAACACATCTGGGAGGAACAAGGTGCCCCAAATCCAGTGCTAGGCACTCATTTGCAAATGACCACCACACAGTGCAGAGCCTATCACTGAGGTGCAGGAATGACATGGCTAATTCCTCCAGTTTCAAGTTTTTAATTAGGTCTCATCATCAGGAGAAACCAGAGTACACAGCTCAGTGGAAGATACCTTTGGAAGAACCTGGAGTGAATGAAACGACACTTGATTTCTTCTTTCAACATCTCTCAGCACACCAAATTATTGTGAAAGTGTATTGCTGAAGTTCAAAAAGAAATGTTGCTCATAGAGCAGACAGAGAACAGGACTACCGGTAAGGAAAGCTAAGTGTGCCTGGCAGGCTGCCAGATGCGTCTGAATTCCGCCTGGGCCCTTTACTATCCCAAGAATTGGGGCAAGAGCCTTTATCTACAGCAAGGAGATAGCCATGCCTACTTACAGAAGAGATATGACAATGAAAAATCCCTAATCCTTCTGCCCACCATTACACCTTCTCACAGTGACACCTAGACGGCTGGCCAATGAGTGGATGTCAGAAAACCCCCAGCCTCTAGTTTGTGCATGGCAAGCCCTCCTGTTCTTTTCACAGTTTACAAACCGAGATCCCTGCCTGGATATTTCCCTCTATCCATGCAGGGCACAGGTAGAGGGGAGGGTTGTGAAGTGTTCCAAAGCGTCACTATTAGAACAGGACAGGCTCATCCTAGGTTGACCACTGACTCCCTGTGTGACATCGTCTCTGGGCCTTCCTATATCACTAGAACCTATACTTTCAAGAAATAGGATAAAAAAGGATAGGAACACCTGTCAAATTCATAGGGAGGAAGAAACTCCCATGTTATTGTGGCAGAGCTGAAAGAGGACTTAATTTAGAATGCTTAGTTTATTCTTTAAAAATTTAACAAACGACCTGAGGTCAAACATACCAAAAATTTAAAGTCGGCTGAAAATAAGAGTATGTTACCATTAGGTGCCCGAGATGGCACTCAACAGTAACTGAGCGCAGAGCTGGGCCCTCCCTTCACCTCCATCCTCTCATCCTGGACCCTACTTTATGAGGATCGCACGACTGGCGCGGCGACCCGCCCGTCCAAGGTCACTCGGGTGCTGGACTCCAAAGCCCGCGCTGCAAGCTCTCCCGGCCACGAGCTGGGCGGGCAGCCTCCGTTTCCCCGCCAGGGGTGGGGGCAGCGCAGGGGGCGGCGGTGGGGGTGCTCACGCTCAGCCCGGGGCTCAGGAGGTCGTACTGGTCCGACACCCAGAAGCCGCGCCGGTCCTCCAGCGCGACGAAGGGCAGGTCGGGGAAGCGCGCACGGAACTTCTTGAGGAAGCCGCCCTCGAAGTCGGCCAGCACGCCGTCCATGTCCACCAGCACCCGCAGGGCGCGGCCGCCCGGATTCCCCGACGCCCCGCGCCTCTCCGCCGGGCCCGCCGCGCCTCGGGGCCGCCGCGCGCACCAACCGCCCAGCCGGATCATGGCCCCTCGCGGGTGCCGGCCGTGGACGCGGGAGCCTGGGCCGTGCCGCGCTGCCGGGGCTGGCTGTGAGACATGACAGCCCCGGAGGAGCGGCGCCGGCCGGCTGAGACGCTGGCCGCTGAGGCGCACCGGTGGCGCGCGGGATTGGGCGCCCGGCGCCGGGGACGCGAGCGCGCAGACGCGGGCTCCAGGGGGAGGCGGGGGCGCGCGCCCCTCGCGCTGCGCAGCCCCGATACCCTTAAAGGGACAGGAATCCGGCGGAGGCGGGGCCCGGAGGCGTGGCTTCGACGACAGCTCTAGGTGCTAGCGGTCCCGAAGATGTCTACATTCCCCGCCTCCCTCTCCAGGCTTTCTGGAGCGGGCCTAAGCTCCCTCCTTCAACTGCTGCAGCAGCACACGGAGGAACCGTGCACGCAAGGAACAAATCTATGTCCTTAGATATTCATTGAGTACTTACTGTGTCTGGCTGTGAGCTAAAAAGACAAGGTTCCAGCCATCACGGAACTTAGATTTTAGAAAGATAGACAGACAAAGGACAAAGGAACCAAAATGGGTTGAGGTGCACCCTGAAAGCCTTTCTGCTTCATGGTGAGTGTCGGGAGACCAATAGGAGAACAAATACCATTCGAACACGAAACATAGTACAGCCTCAGTAAAACTGGTGATTTTCAAGTAAACCTGTAAACAAATAGTATGTACCTCAGTATAGGCTGCGTGTGTGTGTGTTTAACAGAAAAAAATATCTTTTTTTTTTTTTTTCAGAACCGGGGATTGAACTTGTGCTTGCCAGGCAAGTGCTTATTCTACTGAGCTATCTCCCCGGCCCCCATAAGGATTTTTTTTCTCCCCAAATGCCTTCAGGGCACTTTTGGCTGGCTGGAGGGTTGTGGGGATCGAACTACAGCAACCTGAGGCTGACAGCTTTGTGGAAGCAGCCACTTAAAGAACTGAGCTAGGGCCAGGCCCCCAAAAAAAATATCTTAAGACACAGCAGAGCACATGGGATGATAGGTGCAGGATTGGCAAGGCCATCAGAAAGATAATGTTGGAAAAGAATATGAAGAAGCAAAGAGATAGCCAACCACAGTGGTGGGTACCTATGGTCTCAGGACTTGGGAGGCTGAGGCAAGAGAATGGCTTGAGCACAGCAATTGGAAGCCAACCAAGGAAACTCACCAAAACTCCATCTCAAACACGAAACAAAAGGGATAAATGATCCCATGAGTAAAAGCAGGAAGTGTGAAACTCTGATCCAGGAAATGAGAGCTTAGGAAGAAGAAGGATATCAATATAACAATAATTTCCATTCACACATTTATTTAGCAAATTCTAAGCATTTCTAATGTGCTTGATGGTGGATATCAAGCAGTGAACAAAGAACGCACCCTTATGGAACTGGAACTCTAGAACTTCTGGATTTTTCTAAAACTAATGGAAGGAAGGGTGGAGTTATTCAACTTAAAGTTAGAGCAACAGTTTAGGGGCAGCAGGGAAGCAATGTGGCATGGTTGGAAGAGGATGGCAGGGCCTCAAGCACAGCTGGGCATTCTGTGGTATCTCTAGATTATATGCCAAGCCCTTTGTTTGGTTTCTTCACCAATATAGCCCCAGTACATATAACAGTGCTGTCATATAGTATGTGTTTAATAAAATCATTCATGCATATATGCAGCAGTTTTTGAGTCTTGTTATATCATTCAAGAGCCTTTGGGAAAAGCTTATGGAAAGAGACAGAAAAGATTTGGAGATGTAGTCAACAAGAGAAGAGCTAGAATGCCTTAAGTTGTTCTGTTTGGGAGATTCTGGTCAGAGATCAGAAGATCAGAAGGTTGATAGAAATCCTGCCTGTAAAGACCATGGTGGGAGATTTCTGCTGGGAAGAAGGACTGCATTGGTTGTTGGACTCCAGACAATGTATGTTATGGCTTGGCACAAAGTTTGTCTGTATTTTGCTCGTGTGCAGAAGCTTTTCCTGAGACTGAGACTAAAGACAATTGAATGTTGAGATAGTGGTGTGGCTGTTGTTGGGGGCTTTTAGTGAGATTTATGTGGAGAATCAAGAGCAAAGAACTCAGCAGGATGATTTAAAATGTTGTGAATTTTGCCAGAAAGCAAGTGCCAATAAAGCTGTGGACTGCAACGATAGAGCTCCACTGTTAAGAAGAAACAGGAAAATAGAAAAGATGGCCTGAGTGCGTTATAAGAAGTGGCAGGTCTCCACCCTTTGCAGCCTCAAAACTGCAAAGGTGAAAGACTTTGCTTTGAGGAGAAAGCTAGATAGAGTTCCATGTTCCAGAATAGTGGTGGCATAGAGAATTTGTTCCTTGGAATCAAGTTCAGAGCCTCAGCAATCCAGGCACCTGACCCCTACAACCAAGAGAGAAGAAAACCTGGCTACTGCTCCAGCTGGCAGCAGCCCTTGGCATCATCCACATGGCATTGGTTTTAGACACATGCAAAATGTAAGAGTTCTGAAGTTAAGAAGGCTTCCACGTAAATTTAAGAAGAAAGCTTGGGAAGCCAGGCAATGTGCCTGTGGGAGGGCACTGTGTGAAGCAGAGAGTGAGAGGCTTAATGTGCAGTGGAAACCCTAGAAGTTTGGAAAAGTCAGGAACGTGGATCATCTAAGGAATGTTACAAGGAGGATGCAAAGAAAACATAAAGAGAAGCCATGGGAGCTACCACTAAAAGTGCCATGGAGGTGGAGCCACACGAAGCTCACAGTTTGCCACAGTTTGCTTCAGATGTTCCACATAGAACTACAGGACTTAAGGGCTTCTGGATTTTGGGTTTGTTTTGGTCCCAGTACATTGTATCCTGTTGTTTGTACCTTTTGGAATGGGAATGTTTATCTTGTGCCATTGAATGTTAGAAGTGTTTAACTTTTCATTTGTACAGGGGCTCACAGCTAAGAGTTTGCCTTAGATGTTGGAGACTTGGGACTTGGACTTCACAGCAATGCTGAAACTGTCAGAATTGTGACAACTCTTAGAGATGAGCTAAAATGTTTTTTGCATAAAGGGATGTGCATGGGTCTTTGGGGGGCCAGGGGTGGAATGTTATGATTTGTGACTAGTTGTCTCCCCAAAGCCTCATATAGTCACTGGGGAAGGCTTCTAGAGTTTGTGATTAATTCATGATCCAATGCTAGGATTATGGACGTGAGTGCTACACCTGCCCTGGCATGGGTAATCCGCACTCAGTAAAAGGAGGGGAGAGAGACTTGCCAGCTGCCACAGCTGCTGCTCCTCCCTTTGCCTTTTGCTGTTTTCCACCACCATGAACTGCCCTCTACCAATGCCACTCTGCCTTAGAGCCAACCAAGTATGGACTAAAACCTCTACAAACTGTGAGCTAAATAAACCTTTCCCTCCTTTGTCTTGGGTGTCGGGTATTTTGTCCCAGCAATGACAGAAAAGTAACTGAGACAAGTGCCTTATATAGAACCAAAAGTGGAGACTAGCTCTGATTCATTCCTGAATACTGAATAAAGTCATAAATTCAAGATGATGACATATTCTGGTTGTTTTTCAAATAGCTATTCTGATCACACTAAAATTTCCCACCATGCTTTTTGTAATGCATTAACAACTAGTAGTTAACTTGTAACACCCAGCTCAACTGAACTAACATGGTGTTGGGTGTAGGAGTCCCACCTCAGGATTGTTGCCAGAAGCATAAGAGGCAGAACTGGAAAGGAAAGAATTTAGGTTCTGTTAAGAGACTATTAGTTCTCCTGGGGCTGTTGGTTCTTCTAGATGAGTTTGTCATATTGGCTTTCCTGATATGAGCTCAGCTGTTATCATCCAAGGAACTCAGAACCTTGTTGTCACTGAGAATGGCCGTGGTTCACTTTGGGGGAGCTGTGGTCCTTACTTTAAGCATCACTTTCTAACTTCTCTCTAGAAAGAGAAGATGGTGCACTGTTCAATGTCCTGGAGAAGCTTGTAGCACTGGATTTCATAATATGGACTTGGCTGATTTCATTGTAGGAGGAGCTTGGGACCACAGGTCACTGAGGATAGCTGTGGTACCTTGTAGTGGTTGACACAGTGTGTCAACCTGAGCAGTTTAGAAGTTTAAATAAGTAACTCAGCAGGGAGCCAGGATTCTTAGTTTGTAAACATCCTCATCCTGTGCAGGAGGAGGGCATGGACATTGTGTGAGTTCTACACTCCAGCCCCAGGGTAGCTGGTTTATAATATAAGGAGGAGAGAGAAGCTTGATAGAAGCCAGAAGCTGCGCTCTTTTCTGCTGCCGTGAACTGCTGCTCTCTGACATGTGCCACTCTGCCTGGGAACCAAGTGAGTATAGACTGAAACCTCCACACACTCTTGAGGTAAATAAACCTTTCCTTCCTTCCTTTTGAGTGTCAGATATTTGTCCCAGAAATGAGTGAAAAGTAACCAAGACAGAATTCGGTACAGAGAGTGGGGTTGTTGCTATGGCTAAACCTGATCATGTGGCTTACAAGCTTTTGGGAATGCCTTATGGAAAGAGATAGGAAAAGTTTGGAGATGTTGCCTATAAGTGAAGCACTGGAACAGCTTCAGCTGATATGTATGGGAGATTCTCACCAGAGCTCAGAACCTAGAAGACTGGTACAAAGACTGTCTGTAAAAACCAGGCTGGGGAGGTTTCTTCTGGGAGGAAAAACTGTATTGGTTGTTTGATTCCACATGATTTGTGTTATGGCTTGTCAGAAAGTTTATCTGCATTTTGCTCCTGTCTAAAGACTTTGCCTGAGACTGAAATTAAATATAGTGGACTAGTTAATCTTGTAAAAGAAATCTCAAGGCAGTCCAATATTGAGGAAGTGGCATAGCTGTTATTGGGGGCTCTTAGCTAGATTGAGAATCGAGAGCAAAGAACCCAGCAGGATGATTTAAAATGTTGTGAGTTTGGCCAAAAAGAAAGCTCCAATAAAGTGATGGAATGCAAAGATAGAGCTGAGAGGATCTCCATTGCTGAGGAAGAACAGAGAATAGAAAAATGTCCTGAGGTCATCACAGGAGGTGGAAGGTTCTCACCCTTTGCAGCCTCAGAATCACAAGGCTGAGGGACTTTGCTTTCCGGAGAAAGCCACAGAGTCCCAAGTTCCAGAATGGTGGTGTTGGTCACACAAGGTTCCAGAATGGAGGAGGCAGCCTGTCTTACTCATGTTTTACT